AGTGTGAGAAAAATAGACTGAAGGATATGTGAAGTTGGTGGAACAGGTAATTTGCGCAGCAACAGTAGAAAACTAGGTATGCTGGCGTACGTTGGAGTAAAACTCTGGTGCATTTCACCACCATCCGCATCACTTAATTAAATTATTATGAGTAACAAGAATTAAAACAAAAATATAAATTTCCAAGTTGATCACGAAAAGGACGATATCATTTTAAACACCAGCAACCCTACACTGTTACTTTACTTTACATCCACTTGCTTTCATTATTCCAGAAAACTTCACGGGTAAATACTGACTTCCCAATACTTTAAAACACTTATCTTCGGATACACAGAGGCAGAAAAGTTAAGCCACGGTGGTAACGTGGTTTAATGTGAAGGTAACCAACACCGCTTGAAAGCCGGCGGTTAGTATGTATTCTGACCCTCTATTGGTATTCTTATTTGAGGATCCCGCTGTTGACATGCGGTTGCATGTATCAAGCAAAATGAAAAAGCTTGATGGCGTCTTGGAAATAAAATTAGTCAACAGTAGTCAGAACGCGTGGACATGCAGACTGACATTATTAGAAGATTCGTTTCTTCCAGAATCGTGCAGATTTCACACGGTTAGTCAGAAACAATGTGGCTTGAGTAATTGAGATACACTGTGGTTACTGGGTAAATCAGAGCAAGACCATGATCTTTAAATGATTCAGCGTATTCCTGATAGGTATCGGGCCAGAATACGGGTCACTTCATGACTGTAACAGCACAGTATCAAACGAACTGAAACCTTCTACCGGACTCATTGGTATCCAGTTAACCAGACTAGTGCAGACATTTTGTCATGCGCCTTTTAGGCATTAATGGATGTGACCATTGTCAACAGTTATTTGACCTCTACAACCGTCGAACCGAGTGCAGCCCACAGAATCATTATTTTGTCAACCTTGCACGTGCATTCATTACATGTACACCGATGAAAAGGCGCAAGCGTGCACAGAATCCGACTGTATTCACTCTTGACCGCCGCAGTCACCGCAGTCAGGGTAACAACAGCATCACGGTCGCAATGAAGAAATTGTATCGATTCTTGATTGCAGTCGCATTGGTAGTTAGAGATCTCTAGCCTAATTCGACTTCGATACAACCGGATCATAGCTATGATAATCACGATTTTCTCGAAAAAATGCTCACCATTTGCCGAAACAGCAGTGGCAGTCTTGAATCGATCCCCTCCAGCGGTAACTGATGGTGATATGGTCGATTTGGGTCCAGCGCCGTGAAGCGGTTGGCGGTTTCCATGTAAGGTGGTGTCGTTTCTTGTGCGAGAAGTTTGTGTTTGACAGGAAGAACCCGTGGTCCGCACAGAGTTGAAGTAGGCGATCGCCGTTGTCCGTCCGGTTGGCTGGGATTGTATGTGGTCCACCAAGAAACCTTTCTGATTTGTCCAGGGATCCCACTTGAGCATTGAAGTCTCCGGCGATTACCATGATGTCCGTTGATCGAACACTTTGGAGTATTCGAGAAAGGTCCTTGTGGGGTTCATCCTTGATTTCA